GGAAAGAGTAATTTGGATTTGCATGTTTAATGTGATCATTCAATTTCAAGGCTTGAACCTTGAATCAAAGATAGGATTTTGTATGCTTTGTCCTTATTTAAACTCACCATCAACTTGCCTTTAAATTTAGACACACAAAATTGACCACCTTAGCTGATCGCTTTATGTGGCAGCTGATGTGGTCATGTCATGTCAATTAATGAATATTATTATATAAATTTTATTTTATTTTATTTTATTTATTTATTTATTTATTATTATTTTAAAAAATAAAAGTGAAATTTAAAAAAAATGAAAAACAAAAAGTTGGACTTTTTTCGTCTCCAGCACACCCTTCTTCCTCCATCAAATTTACCTATCCTTATCAAAACCAGAGAAGAGATATAGATATACCCAGCACTCCCTTCTTCCTCATCAAATTAAGCTATCCCTTCAAAACCAGAGAAGAGATATAGATATACTAGAGAAGAGATCAAATTCAAAAAAAACAACAAAATTACAAGAAGAGAGGAACCCAATCAAAACCAGAGGATTTTGATTTTGATTTTGAATTTTGGTGTTTTGAGGGTTTTTCAAGAATCAATAATCATCATCTTCAATCATAAGTGAGCAACGACCATTAGATCTATAGTATTTGGAGAGCACCAACGCATGGGGATGTGAGCGGAAGTAGCATGGCGGAGATGGCAACGACAGCAGCGTTGATGGGTAAGGCGTAGATGTCGGTGTAGTGGGACATAGAGAACTTCCAGATCCCCAAGGTCTGTGACACCCATGCCATCTCCCAGAACATTAGAGCATCCACAATGGGCTCCCTAAACCATCTTCTTAGACAAATTTTAGGGATAAATCGTAAAAATGCAACTACAACCACACTTCATATCCACCTCCTAAAATAGGGAGTCCTCTAGGAGCTCCTAAATTTGAGGAGAGAGAAATGACTCCCAGTGACTCCCTATAATTTAATGCTGCTTTATTTAATAAATATTTCAAACTTTTACTTAATGCTAACTATTTTTTATTTTATTTTTTAATAGAGATGAACCAATCAAAAAAGAGTTATAGCATTTATGACTCTCCAAATTATGGAGTATGGTTGGAGTTGAAATTTTTTAGAGAGCTCCTAAAATAGCTTTATTATATTCTTAGCTAAATTTTAGCTAAGAAATAGAGAGCATCATTGTGGATGCTATTAGTTCTGCACTCGTTAAGATGAAGAAGGGAATGCTAGAGACGAAGAGTCCAGGGATGCTAGGGTTTTTTGTTTTTTGTTTTTAATAATTATCTAAAAAAGAAAGAAATAAAAATAAAATCCACATGACAATTTCATTAATTGACATGGTATGACCACATCAGCTGCTACATAAGGTGGTCAGCTAATGCAGTCAATTTTGTGTGTCTAGATAGCATTACTCTTAAAATAAAACATGAGCTAACAGAATTTAACTATCTTTCTTTTATCAACACAAGTATGAGATTTCAACTCAGAACCTCTCCCTCCATAGTTTCTATTGAATATTGTAATGCTAAGTAAGTCATTTGGCCCTTTAAGTTGAACTCTTTAACCATGCATAGTTCTAAGAGAAAGTCATCTAAAAACCACATGAATAATAGAGAGAGAGAGAGAGAGAGAGGAGATTACTCAAGGAGGGAAACTCCAAGATGAAGATTGAATTCTGAGTTTACCCAAGCTATCAGCTGTCATGGCCCCAGAAATGGTGTATTGTAACTCATACAAGTTTCTTATTGTACCCTTCTGTTAAGGTTGCTTTCACGCTCGATGCATGTTGTAGATATATGTAAGTCTCATTATGAATTCTATATGTATCGACAGCTAACATAAACACTCGATGCATGTTGATATATGTGAGTCTCATTGAGCCGCAGATGAAGGCAAACATCTAGTAGGATCTCAAAATGTCATTTTTCAAGTATTTCTTTAAAATAGTTTGAACTTGGGAATTTTTATGCCGATCCACTTGCAATGCATTGTAAATATTAAAGACTGCAGTTTTTATGCAACTTCTGCAAGAATCTGTCAAGGTCATGAAAAATAATGTATATTCAAGGTAATCTTGGGATCAAAGGTCCCAGTAGTTATGAATCATTCAGGTGCAAAACCTTAGAACAAAGAATGTTGGTACAAGTGTGTCGAATACATGTAATAAAGATAAACTCATAGCACTTTCAAGAGCTGCACCTCAAATATCAAAGGCTCGTTTACATGAGACAAAAGGCTGCGTCTAGGGCCAAACTGCAACCAACACAACACACACAAGTGTATATTATTTTAGTTCTGTGGGCAAAAAGAACCCATTTAACAACAAAGTTCAGGAAATGAATCATGATTGTTAGGTTTTACCTCTTCAGGAATTGGTTTTAAGTTTTCATTTATGTAACCCACATAAGGAGGTATCAATGCTCTTCTCTTTCCTGAAAAGTAAGCATGTTCAAAATGTGAGTGCTTTTTATAAGTCTATACAAGTGATAGCAAAACTGAAAACAGATGATCTCTAGGTTAATAACATTAGTCTTATACATCATACCAATTTTCAAGACATAAAGAGGATACAATATTTTCTAGCTTATTTATATTTCCAATCCTTCTAACTCAGATCATCAACATAAGAAACATTAGGGATGGAATTTCAAGAAATTTTGAAGTACAGAAGAATGGGGAAGGAAGAAATCAAGCCACATACGCAGGGAGCCAAGGATGATAATCAGGTGGAGGTCATTCAAAAACTGTACTTTGTGTTCTTCTTTTTTACCATCATCTTACTTTAAAAAGAGTTAAAACCCAGCATATGACATAAGTAGATCCTCCAGTTGTTAAAAATTGCAGCTTTATATTAGAACATACCGCCAATCCTCATGCCAACTAGAACCTCCTTCAAGCCTGCTATAATCTGTAGGAGCAATTATGTAACACGTTAATGGCATGATCAACGAAAGAAAGGCTTAAAGACTCCACAGTGTGCCATTGAAACAAGAATTAACCTGTTTTTCATCCAAAGGAAGTATCACAGGTGTGCTTTCTCCACTGAATTGATCTACAGTGCTACACCAAAACATATTCCATTCAGACAAGTTGAAGACTGAGGTATGATATACTAGTATAAAAACAAAACAGGAGTACCGGAAGCAGGGAATTTATACAAATGGCATTGATCATAAATTCAACAGAATGTACAGAGTCTACCTATGAACAAAATATCCATTTGTGCGCCTGCATACATAGTTAATTTCAACCAAATCTCCTTCGTTGGCTGCTGAGCCTTGCCCTTCAACAATCTCTACAAAAAGGAAACTTTGAATTAACATTAACCTAAAAGAACAAAACTGATTATACGCATGCAAGATCCCTTTCTACTTAGTTGAAGTATGAAATTTATCCAATGGGAATGTGACTCAATTCCATGTACAAATTTTCAACATTGAGAGCTCAGATGTCATACAATAAAAACAGCACTCTCATGTCTTAAATGGTCATTCAAAAAGGAAACATGGGATTAATGTTAACCCCGGAACGAACAAACCTTTTTCCTTGGTTAAAGTATGACATTTTATCTAATGGGTAAGTCACTGAGTTCCATACACAATTTCAACATTTATAGCATAAATGACATAAAATAACTCATGGAAAGACCACATCTCATATCTTAAATGGTTATTCAGTATGAAAGGATCATGTATGGAGCAAATGAAATTCAAGTCACAGACCAGGCACAGATATTCATTTTGTAGAATATGGAAAAAGATAATGCCAATGGGCAATACTGAATAATCATTGAACATCTTATTCATGTAAATTAATTCTTAATGTCTAAAATGTCGGACCACATCAATGAATAACATATCAAATACCCCAAAATCATTCTTGAGCAATTATCATATGGAATCTTTAGAATTCTGTAGATTATGTACCTTGAATCCTCACACCGCTGGGAAGCTTTAAGGTCCTGGACGCTTCAAATTCGAAACAACATTGCATATGAGACTCACACTTTCTTTTTTTTCTTAGAATAAGAAGCTGGCTCCAAATTTGAGCTTAAATTTCAAGTAAAAAATGGCAACAGAAATGGAAATAAACAAAGAACCACATACAAAATTTTACCGAATGACTTGAGGTTCCTTCATCTCTGGCATTGGTGCAGCAAAAACAGGATGTGAAAGGATTGGACAGAATCCCATAAACTGCAAAAGCAGCCTTCTTTGTAATCTTTTGGCTGTCGGTGAGTGAAGTCTTTCATCCAAGTTCTTAGCCACAGTGTTCTTAGGTTGCTCAACATAACTGGTTTATGCACAATAACATAATCAACAGACACTAAAAAAACTGAAACCAAAATATGAATATATGACAAAGCATAATCAAATGACAGATGACATAAATTTTGTTCAGTTCAAATTGCAAGATGCCAATTTAACCCCAATCAGGACAGTGAAAAGCAATTTACAATATTGGGGTTCAGTAAAAGTAGTAAATAACACAAGTTTGGTTTTTCTAAGGAGCATCTAAGATCACCAAGACCATGCTTTCAAGCCCATCTTTATGCATTGCCATAGTAAATATTTTCTGGGTGGTCAATATATTCAGTTCGATTGCCATTATTGAATGAATTCCTGATTTGAGAATAGAGTTTTACCTTGGAGTTCTGATAGTAGATGGGAGTTGAAGTAAGCTTTGAAATGAGAGAGCTTCCATTTGCCAAATGGGAGAGTTCAAGAATTGGGAGATAACGGATAAACAGGGAAAGGTGGAAGCTTTCAGAGAAAACATGGAGAATTTTGCTAATATGTTCCAATGTCCAGGGAGCGGTCTATGGACCGTTGTTTTGGACGGACATAAAGAAGTCGGCCACCTTGACCAATATGAGAAGAAAGACTTGGAGTCAACCGATAGTAATCAAAGATTATTTATTTTGGAGAAAATATTTACCAATGCTTCCGAATTTTCAATCTTGTTCAATTTGCCCTTCAAACTTTCAATTTGATTTTGAGCTCTCCTAAACTTTTAGTTCATATTAGTGTGTTCTAACTGTCATTTATGTCACAATTATCATTCATTTCCATCACGATAAAAATGGGTCAAGCAAGTCTCAATTTGAATTGACGAAATATTAAAATAACTAATAGCAACAGGACATTAGCACGTATTGAAAGTTTAAGGGAACTCACAACTAATAAAGTTCAAATAACATAATGAAAAATGACATATAATTTTGAAAAGCTAAAATTTTTATCACGAATCAAATTGAAAGGATAACTAATCTGCCAAATTTTGTATAAAATCAATTTGGTTTGATCAATCATCCAGCCAAATCAAACTACAATTTTATAAAATCAAGAGTCATGAAAAGTATGAATGGTAAAAATAAAAGTGTTCTGGTTACAATATGCAAAACATAAGTATATGCCAAAAGCTTTTGGGTTAAGCATACACAATTTTATAACCTACAAGATTGAAGTAGCATGAAGGGAATGAATTTAGTTTTACATACATGCAACTATTAGATGACTGACGCATTTATAATTTTTTATGAAAATTATAGTTACTGATAAATAACTCGAAACCCCCTTTTTTATCCATACTTGGAAATTACTAGATTCTTTTCTTAGAAAACAAGAAAAAAAGAGGAAGCAGAAGAACCATTCAAACGTGAAGACCTCAAAAGTTAGGTCTTCGCCAAACTTCTTGGCAAGTTTAGGATCAAAACAGAGGAACTTTCCCCTTTTGTGTTTGGATTCTCTTATTGGGCCCTCCTTTTCTCTCTTATAAGCCCAAAGACCCCTCTTGCGAACAATCTAGACTATCCACTTGGCAGCACAACAGCCCGGGTCTAACAGAAAAGGAATTCCCCAAGGCGTACGCGAAACCAAACTCCGAAAAAACATATGAAAAAATCAGATCCAATTAATTAGCGATAGAAGGATCTAGAAACCCTAGTCAAGTCTCCTATATAATGCTCGCTTCCTTCACTCTTCATAGCGCAAATATTCACTACCTCCTCTGTCTTCAATTTTACGTCGTCTTCGACCTCTCCGCTTCTCCAAAACCCTAGATCTCCTTTAACCCCTAATATACAACATCAATGGCGGAGACTGAGACGTTTGCCTTCCAGGCCGAGATCAACCAGCTTCTGAGTTTGATAATCAACACCTTCTACAGCAATAAGGAGATCTTTCTCCGTGAGCTCATCAGTAATGCCTCCGATGTACGTATTTTCACCTTTTATTCTTATCCTGATTTATCATTTCAGTATTTTCTAGTGTTTATTGTATGAATCTTTGTGTTTTGCTTGTGAACGTTTTAAATTCAACGATTTAGTTTGTATTAGAGATCTGAACATGTTAATTTTTATGCTGTCGTTTATGCTCGTTTCAATATGGGATGAAACTAATTTATTTCTTCTTTAGTCGTTACTTTTTTAGTTAAAAGTTTGAGAACAGGATTAGGGGGTTTTGATTTAGTTGTTCTGTTATGGCTTAGAAACACTGCGGCTTATCTGCTTATGGATTCTTGGTTTTGATTTCACATTAGGGTTTTGATTAGTTCTTTGGGTATTTGTTTCATTTTTAATGATAATGATAGTGATATTGAATGTCAATTGAGTATTTGAGTTTCTTATACTATCAGAAGTTTGCTATCCCTGTTTGCCTTTTTTATACTCTTTTAGTATGTGCTAAACGTTTGTAAGTTGAATATAATAAGGTTTTTAAAAAATATTTATGTTGCACGCATGATTTTGAAATCGCTATCTAAATTGTCTTTACTGTTCCTGGCTCCTGGTGAATTGATGTTGAAAAACTATGTGGCGAATTGAATTTCCTTTAGCTTAGTTTTAATAAATTGTCCCATATATCTTTTTAACGTTTACTCATGGTGTAATGCTCTGTTTCTAGGCTCTTGACAAGATTAGATTTGAGAGTTTGACTGACAAGAGCAAGCTCGATGGTCAGCCAGAGCTCTTCATCCACATCATCCCTGACAAAACCAACAATACCTTGACTATTATTGACAGTGGTATTGGGATGACCAAAGCTGGTAAGTTGATTTGTATTAGACAATTTGTTATCTGTGTTATTCCAATGATTGTATTGTCCTTAATGGTTTTGTTCTTATTTTGTTTTGTCAGATTTGGTGAACAACCTCGGTACCATTGCAAGGTCTGGCACCAAGGAATTTATGGAAGCTTTGGCCGCTGGTGCTGATGTTAGCATGATTGGTCAGTTTGGTGTTGGGTTCTACTCTGCTTATCTTGTTGCAGACAAGGTCATTGTTACCACCAAGCACAATGATGACGAGCAATATGTGTGGGAGTCTCAAGCTGGAGGCTCATTCACAGTCACCAGAGACAACTCTGGTGAGGTTCTCGGCAGGGGTACAAAGATTACTCTTCATCTCAAGGAGGACCAGCTTGAGTACCTTGAAGAGCGCCGTCTCAAGGATTTGGTTAAGAAGCACTCTGAGTTCATCAGCTACCCAATCTCACTCTGGATTGAGAAGACCACTGAGAAGGAGATTTCTGATGACGAAGATGAGGAAGAAAAGAAGGAAGAGGAAGGAAAGGTTGAGGAAGTTGATGAAGAGAAAGAAAAAGAGGAGAAGAAAAAGAAGAAGATCCAGGAAGTGTCACATGAATGGTCTTTGGTGAACAAGCAAAAACCTATCTGGATGAGGAAGCCAGAGGAGATCACTAAGGAAGAGTATTCAGCTTTCTACAAGAGTCTTACCAATGACTGGGAGGAGCACCTTTCTGTGAAGCACTTTTCAGTTGAGGGTCAGCTTGAGTTCAAGGCCATCCTCTTTGTTCCCAAGAGGGCTCCATTTGATCTCTTTGACACAAGGAAGAAGCCCAACAACATCAAGCTCTATGTCCGCCGTGTCTTCATCATGGACAACTGTGAGGAGCTGATCCCTGAATACCTTGGCTTTGTTAAGGGTATTGTGGACTCTGAGGATCTCCCTCTTAACATTTCAAGAGAGATGTTGCAGCAAAACAAGATCTTGAAGGTCATCCGCAAAAACTTGGTGAAGAAGTGCATTGAGATGTTCCAAGAGATTGCTGAGAACAAGGAAGACTACAACAAGTTCTACGAGTCATTCTCCAAGAACCTCAAGCTTGGAATCCATGAGGACTCCCAGAACAAGACAAAGCTTGCTGAGTTGCTCAGATATCACTCCACCAAGAGCGGTGAAGAGATGACCAGTCTCAAGGACTATGTGACAAGGATGAAGGAGGGCCAGAACGATATTTACTACATCACCGGTGAGAGCAAGAAGGCTGTTGAGAACTCTCCATTCCTTGAGAAGCTGAAGAAGAAGGGATATGAGGTCCTCTTCATGGTTGATGCTATTGATGAGTACGCTGTTGGTCAGCTCAAGGAGTTTGAGGGCAAGAAGCTTGTCTCAGCCACCAAGGAAGGTCTCAAGCTTGATGAGAGTGAAGACGAGGCAAAGAAGAAGGAAGAGTTGAAGGAGAAGTTTGAGGGACTCTGCAAGGTTGTGAAGGATGTTTTGGGTGACAGAGTGGAGAAGGTTGTGGTGTCTGACCGTGTGGTCGACTCTCCCTGCTGTTTGGTGACAGGCGAGTATGGCTGGACTGCCAACATGGAAAGAATCATGAAGGCTCAGGCCTTGAGGGATAACAGCATGGCTGGGTACATGTCGAGCAAGAAGACCATGGAGATCAACCCAGAGAACCCCATCATGGAGGAGCTGAGAAAGAGGGCTGATGCAGACAAGAATGATAAGTCAGTGAAGGACCTTGTTCTCCTTCTGTTCGAGACTGCTCTCCTCACCTCTGGGTTCAGCCTTGATGACCCCAACACCTTCGGCAACAGGATCCACAGAATGTTGAAGCTTGGATTGAGCATTGATGACGATGCTGTTGACGGTGATGCTGAGATGCCCCCATTGGAGGACGCTGATGCTGATGCTGAGGGCAGCAAGATGGAGGAAGTTGATTAAGTGATGTGTCTGAAACCCCCCCCGACCCACCACCAATCAGTAGTTTTTTCTCCGTAGTAGTGATGTTATATTTTCTTACTTTCTTTAGTTAATTTTGGATATTTCGGGATGGTTACTGCTGTTTTTGTTATCGGATATTATAATTACCTAATTTTTGTTAATGCATTTGGAACTATTGTCTCCTACGGCTGTTTCTGTGGTTTTGCTTCCATTGGTCTTGATGCTTAATTGTGAATCTAGTTCCTTCTTATTTGCTATGTTTCTTTTCAAAAATATAATCTAGTTATTTTTGCATAATTGTTTCATTCATTGTTGGGTTACAATTAATTTAGTGATTTATTTAGAACAAAATCTATGGGATTCAAAACCGATTATAAGATTTACTTGAAGTTTTCGGCTTTTTAACAAAACCTCTTGAGGTTTTAGAAATTGCGTGGAATGCCTTCTCATGTTTTAAATTGTTTTGTTTTCATTGATGTTTTTAATCTTAAAATTGATCCAAATAACAAAGTTGATTTTTGAGATTAAATTGAGGCTAGTTTTGTCATTTGTATAAATATTTTTATAGTGTTTTTGGTAATTGTAGTTCAATCAAAGAGGGATTGAAAGGTTTGAGACTTGAATTTTGACCCACTTCAAATTATGGGTTTGTTTAGCACGTTATTACTATGCCTGTTGAGTATAAATTTTGGGGACAAGTTTTGGTATAAATTTAGCAACATTTTCAAGTATAAAGGGCAATTCCCTAGAGTTAAAATTAGAGAACGAAAATGAGAACCCGACTTGGATTTTGCTGTTCTGTTGCGGCACGGCTTGAGCTTGAGGTGA